TATGGCTGGTGCCCCCTGAGAATGTAGGGGTGCCAAGAGAAGCGCCAGCAGCACTTCTGGGTTTGCTGGTGGCAGCTGTACCAGCAGCAGAGATCAGCCACTGGAGGACCCCCCCCCACCACCCGGTCAGTGACTGGCCACTGGGGGACCCCCTCCACCCAATCAGCGATTGGCCACTGGGGACCCCCCCCCCACCTGGTCGGCAATCGGCTGCTGGTGCCACCCCAGGATCAGGAGGCACCCGTCACCCATGCCTGTGGAGTAAAGAACAACTAGTAGTAATCAGGTAGATCCAGGTGCAAGCAGCCTTTGTGTGTGGCACCCAACAGATCAGGTGAAGGCTAGGCGACAGGACAGGAAGCAGAAAGCAGAGCAGAAGATCAGTGAGGGAGTACAGTGTAGGGAGCAGAAAGCAGCCGATTGGGCAGAGGAAGGGGATCAAGGTAGCACTCAGGGAGGGCATGGGACTAATTTGTCAGAAAGGCTGGCTCCCATGGAAATAGATTATAATGAGCCATGTAGTCAACTGACTCAATCAGCACTGCTTGAATAGAAATGCTACTCTACAGCTGGGCAGTTGGTTTTAAACTTTGATTGGAGTAGGAATCAAAGTGGAGCATGACTACACCACTGTACACCACCACTGTCCGGATCTGCTTCTGCTGGAGTCCCCCTCTTTCCATGCAACTGCCAGGGCAAAAAGAAGCAACAGCCATCCATCTGAAGCACCTCCAAGCTTCTTATTCTGGGCAGAAAATCAGCTTCCCACTTAAAATATGCACCCCAAATTTTGAAAGGATTATTTTTGGGGAAAAGGTAAACATGGTATTTGAGTAAATATGACCGGTTTAAGACCCTTTCTAGATTTGGTTTTACAATGGAAAGACAATTCCAATTTGATAAATCCTTTGGAAACTCTCTAAAGATGCTTTCTGTAAGGTGTTAAAAACCTGTTACCCTAGTGCAAATTCTTATGTGAATGATTGTGCCCTATCTAAATTCAAACTAAAATTTCTACTAAATGTTATGTTCATCACTTCTTGGGAAACTTATCATAAAGTATTTTTGAATGTTGTTAAGCAGCTGCAGTCTACATCAGAGAGGGCCTTTCAGAATTAAATTGGTGAATTCATAAACCGTATTTTTAGCTCCTAGGAAGTACTTCTGATTCCCTCAGATTAAAGTATTAAATAGTTTAAAAATCTAGCTAAATAAATGTATAAGGCCTAATACTATTACAGTGGTCTTAATCTTGCAAACATTTATGGATCAGGGGACTGCTTCTATATATAGAATTAAGTGAATGATGTACATATATGTTTACAGAAAAGAATTTGATAATCCCAAAGTATTTGACCCAAGTAAGAAGTTTATTCTCTGGTTTTATGGCCTTAATCACTAACAGCCAAACAAGAGATTTAGATTACATATTTCACTGAGCGGACTTGATTGATTGGGAAGACAAGTAAAAAACACATTTTCCCATATTTAGCAAAAGGTTCTAATTTTATGGCCTTTGACTAAAAAAGAATTTGGAAGAACTTTCCTTTTACAATTATAAGACTTCAAAGAGGCATATTTAACAAAAAAAAAAAGATGTTAAGAATGACAATATGATGACACTATACAAAGAAGCCTTCTACCAAATCCAGAGGACTAGCTTTTCCTCCCAAATACACTGAAGTATAAAGAAAAGTCTGGAGAAATTGAACATAAAACAAAAAGAGCAATCCCACTTGAAGCAGACAGCTGTTTCAACCAGCTGCTCTAGGCAAAAACCATTTGCTGTGTTCCCAGCTTCAAGCCACCTAAATTAATTAGAAAATAGGGTCTGAGGACCATCCTACAGGACTCAAATCAGCTTGATTCTCTATGGGTGTATGTACATGTTGCCATGCTTTAGTGCTTCCAATTTGAAAATCATAATGGGGAGGTGGTCACTTAGGCGGAATTCTTAATCAATGAACCGGTTTAACTTAGTGTTAAACCCCACCAAGAATCAAAGTTTAATTTGAACCCTGGCAGCACACCACTACAGCAATATAGCTGGCAATCATATGTAGATTGCTACACCACTGTGTGATCACTACGCTGCTGTAGCATGCCATGTGGCAATGTAGCTCATCGCCCTAGGATGATGTATAGACACACCTTTCATGTAGCTTTTAATACAATTCTGACTGAAGTCATGGGAGTAAGAGATTTTGACCTTCCCCTTACCTTTGAAACTATGCCAAAAGCAGGTATTAATAGGGCAGAGAAAGTGAAACCCCCATGAACTGATTTGGAAGTTGACACCCAAGAGGAGATCTGACTTTTTACAAACACTGCTTTCTGCTTGGAACACCTGCTCTTCTTCCATAGGAATCAATTCATTCCACACAGGTCTTTGGTTGAAGTATTCTGGGACATGGGAACTTGCCATAGGAACAGACCCACAGTTTCGTATCCTCTCTCTAAAACTGGCTAGCTCCAGTTACTTTGAAGGAA